AGGCTTGAAGACTGGAATTGGAGTCAAATTGCATTCTGTTTGGGATTCTCTAGTGGTGCTTCAAGAAACACTTGTTGCAGTCTGGTGAGTGTTCTTTGCAAAGAAACTTACATCATACGAAGTTGGGAATTCTTGTATATTTGTTGTCTTGATAGAGATCATTGGGAGATTGTGATTGGGGTGTATTGAGGTGTATAATTCAACTAATTTGTAGTGGATTGGAGCTTGGGTTTCAACCCCCCAGACATAGATCTTATTTGATCGATTTGGGTAAACAAGCTTCTATGTTTCTCTATTTACACATTTTGCACGTGTTATCTGAACGTCCAGTAGATTACACTTCTAAAACGAAAGAAGCTTAGGATGCGCTTCAGGTAATATTTGAAGGATCAATGAATATCAGAGGTACAAAGATGCAGATGGTCGAATCTAAGTTCGATGGGCTAAAACTTGAAGATAATGAGACGATCTTTGATTACAACAATCGCATCAAGGATATTTTAAATCAGACTAACATGCTTGGATTGATCTACGAAGAAAGGAAATTAGTTAACAAGATGTTAAGAAATCACTCATAAGTTCGCTCCCAAGGTTGTTGCTTTAGAAGAAATGGAGAAGATTAACACCATGATCTTGGATGGATTGATTGGAATTCTACAAACATATGATTTAAACCATCTTAAGCCAAAACCGAAAAAAGAGATTGCATTTATAGCTGATGGATCTAGCAATAATGTCGAGGATGATTCGGTTGAAGATGAGGTATCTTTTCTCAAAAAAATAATTTCAAAAAAACGAGGGCCAAACAGTTAAAGAAGAAAATTGAGAAAAATGCCACTCAAACTCAACATAAATCTTCTATTCAATAGAAATCTTTTGGTCAGAAAAAAAAAAGAAAATTACAGTGCCAAAGAAACCAGTAGTATCCAATGATGTTATTTGTTATGGTTGCAATGGTTTTGTACACATCCAATATGAGTGCCCAAAAGCAATGAGGAAAAATAACAAAACAATGGGTGTTAGATGGAGTGACGATGAAAATAATGTTGAAGGATCACATTTAGATGCTGAGAATGTGTTGGGGTGCAAACCGAAGGCCAACATTAGAAGTTGTGAAGAAAATTCCACACCTTATAAATCTCAAATAAACTCCACTAGTATAAGGTCTTTTGAAGGAAATCCAAAAACAAATCCGTGGGGGCTCAGCCCAAAACGGACAATATCATACTAGTGTTGAGTTGGCAACTAATATTCTTAGTGAGTATTATTTGGTTGCAGAAACAATCCGAGTCATCAATCCTAAGAGGAAACAAATTCTTAACAGTGGTATTAGAGCTCGGTTCAATGGTGAAGTGGAGTGGGTGGCATTGGGCATTGGTTGTGGTGGTGGCCTCACCCTCGTGACCTGCCAAGGTGTCTTGTGTCGAAAGTGTCCAAGCGGCTTTGGGTCGGTCCCAAGAGTTGTGGTTGGTCAGGCAGCGGGTCCCTTTGTGACAAGCGGTACAAGGTAGGCAGGGAAAGCTCATTGGTTGGTCCTTGGTTTGAGAGGAGGATTGTTGGAGTGCAAACCCAAGTCCCACATTGAAAAATGTGAAGAAAATTAAACACCTTATAAGTCTCAAATGAACTTCACTAATATGAGGCCTTTTGGAGGAAATCCAAATACAAATTCTTGCGGGCTCAACCCAAAGAGGACAATATCATACTAGTGTTGGTTTGTCTAGTCCCACCAATGGTATCAGAGCTTCCAAGTTGGAAACGGGTTGTACGATCGAATCAAAATTTTAAATTGTGCCCTCGATTTGGTAACGGAAGGCTAACCCTTTCTTTTATCTTTTAATGAGTTTTTGGGTAAGTGGAGATTAAATTATGTGAATATTGTTTGGTTTGAACACTGCTATCACGTAATTGGCAGCTCCAAGAACGAGTTAGTAGCTGACCACTGATAGTTAGTGAATTGAGTGACATTTTTGTGTGGCTTATAGTGTGAACTTTGTATAGATACTTGGGCATTATGACAACTGTGTCTACTGAAACGTTTGATGGCAAAATTAATTTTTCAATCTGGCAACAAAAGATGAAAAGTATCTTAATAACACAAAAGGTTGCCAAAGATATTGATGGTGCTTTTAATCGGTTGTTGACTGAAGATAAAAAGTTTGAGTTAGATGAACATGCATATTCATTAATGATATTGAATTTATCTGACTCTGTGATTAGAAAAGTAGGAAAGCATAATTCTGCAAAAGAACTTTGAAAAAAATTAGAAGAAATGTATATGGAAAAGTCTTTGCCGAATAAATTGTTTCTGCTTGAAAAATTCTTCAGATTTAAACTTGAATTAAATAAGTCAATAGATGAGAATCTTGATGTTTGTTCTAGGCTAGTTCAAGATATTAAACAAACAAGAGACAAAAATATTGATGATTACAATCCTATTGTGTTTTTTAATGTAATTCCTGAATCTTTTTCTGATGTCAATTTGTTATTAAGTATAGTAGAGATAGTATAACTCTAGAAAAAGTTATTAGTGGATTAAAGAGTAAAGAATTCGACTTACAAGTTAATGGGAAATAGAAACAAGCATATGATGAGGTCTTGTTAGCTAGATGTTAGTCACATAATTTTGACAATCAAAAGAATGAATGCAAATGGAAAGGTAAGAATAGGAAGTGCTATAATTGTGGGAATAAGAATCATTTTATAAATCAATGTCCGCATCCTAAAGAAAACTTTAGAAACCAACAACATGATGAAACGAATATGACTACAGAGGATGAGGTTGTAGGTGACGTGTTTATAGTAAGAGATAATGTTTCTACTATTGATCCAGTGTGGGAAACTGAATGGTTTCCTAATATTGCCCTTGAGAAATTTGTTTTCGATTATAGCTCTATGTCGCATCCTTTTGTTGGTACATATTATATTAATCTAAATTTTTTGTTATATGTTAACTTTGCAAATTGAATGGGTTGATTTTATAACTTGGTATTGTTTATTTTTTTGCATATATGTTTAATTTGTGCTTATATATTTATATATATATATATGTTTTTGTGTGCAATATCTATGTGGTAAGTTGCATGTATAAAGGCGATGATGTTAGCTTGTTCCCCACTCTTGTTTATGCCCTCCAATGCGACCATGATGGTCGACCAGAAATAAGGGGGAGATTGTTGGGTTTTATTTCAGGTCCGAACCGACCCGATCCAACCCTGCTCATACCGACCCGGTTCATACACCCTGACCCGGATTGATCCTTAAATTGAATAATTCTTTCCCCAAATCTCATTTGTATCGATTAAGACCCATTCTCGGCTTCTCTTTTCCTCAAGTCCAAAATTGGTGCTCTAAGGGTGATCTGTTCCGTCTTCCGGGTCCTTTGTTCTTCAATTAACAAGGTAAGTTTTTTCCTGGTTTTGGGGCTTTGTGTGGCTTCTTGGTAGCCTATATATATGTGTGTGTGAGGCAATGGGTTTAAGGAGAAGTGAAGCGAGTGAGAGCCGAGAGAGACAGTCGCTTGGTGTGATCCTTTGTGTTCTCCTTTGTGTTCCTCTACACCTTTGTGAGATCTCCTCCCTTCTTTGGGTTCCTTGGTGTCAAAACCCATAGTACTCCCCTTTTGTGGTGTTGCCTCGTTGGAAGGCTTAGAGTTGGCGCGGAGTGGGCTGTGACGTGAGCCTACCAAATTATTCCAGATATTTTGTTATATTATAACACTGTTTTCTTAGCTTATATTTATTGCTATTCTGATTATTGGTACTAACCTACTAATACTCTTAATGAGTATTATTTGGTTGCAGGAACAACCCGAGCATCGATCCTAAGGGGAAAAAAATTCTTAACAAAATGATGGTCAAAATGTTGTTGCCTTTACTCTACATGATAAAGTGATCGATGATTATGATTGCAATAGAACAACCGAAATGGATCATGGAGAATTAAGTGAAGCATATACTGAAATTGTAGTTAAACAAAAGATTTTAATATCCAAAACTAAGTATCTCAGAGGTTGTGTGAAAATATTGGAAACAAAGATTGATGTATTGACAGAAGACAACACAAGATTGATAAATATGAAAAGCGATTTGTGCATCAAATGTGAGAAGACGTCCGAGGAAGTTACTAATGTGACATAAAAAATTCAAGAACTCGAATCAACAAATCAAACTCTCATGGAAGAAAACACAATGCTCCTCAAAGGTAAATCTAAATTTGATGAAGTTTTATGCGTTGGAAAATCATATAGTGATTATAATAGAATTGGATATCATTGTGGAACATCAAGCTCTCATACTGTATTTGTTAAATGAGACAACTTACACTACTAAAAAAATCTAATTTAGTGACGGATATTTGCGAGGGATCTCAAATCCTTTGTCAATAGTGACGGTTTGTGAAGGATGATTGTGAGAGAATTCAATTCCCTCCCAATTGTGACAATTTGCCAAGGATGATTGTGGAGGAATTAATTCCTAGCAATTTCGTTTCATATTAGGTATAGAAATTGAGTTGATGAGAGAATTAGCGATGTATATATCCCTTGCTAATTTAATGCCAATTTGTGTTAGGAATACTATAAAAAAAAATATATTTCACTACAATTTTACAAAATAGAGAAGAATTTAATGAAAATTTCTCTTGCAAAATATTACTTGCAAAATTATACTTACAAAATAAAATTAAAAATAAAAATTATTTAACTTAAAATAATATTATTATTTAAATATGTAAAATAAATTAATTTATAATTTATAATGTTTAATATTATTTTTTATATTCATAATATCTTTTATCTTTTATTTTTTTATTAACATTAATATTAGTATTATTTTTCTGTAAGGATATAATAATATATAATATTATAAATGAATATTAATTTACTAAAAATATAATAATAAGTTTTTACCCGCTAAACCCTACAGCAGCCGCCGCCAACGTCAAATATCCCATTTTCATCTTTTCGTTTTCTCATTTTTCACATTTATTCTTTACCTTCTTCCTCGCGGTCAAATTTCTCCCATTGTTGCAGGCTTGCAGCTCCCCGTCATTGGACGCAACCACGAGTTTTGCTTCTTTATCTGTTTACCGTGGCGACATTTGTTACGGTAGAGGAGTTGTGCGTCAGTGTTGGTTTCGTAGATTTTCATCGGTTGAGTTCGGTAAGTTTATCATCACTCAAAATACTCCCCAACGCAGGTTGTCTTCTTCATCTTCTCTTCTCTTTAGTCATTTGGCTTCGTCTAATTCTAATCCTAAACATTCTAATACATATTTCTGCATTTATACTTCAATTTTAATCCTCCAGCAGTTATTCGAAATCTACTCGAGGAATCAAATTCATCGAAAATACTTCTCAACGGTATAATCTCTTTTTAATTGTTGAATTTTGTATAGTAATTTTTTTGTTACATTTTTGTTGCCATTGTTGTGCTGCTATGTTTTTTGAGCATTTCTTTTCTTAGTATAGCACTTTGTACATGTTTACTTTTATGGATGGACTGGATTGTAGAATTAATAGCTTGAGGTTCGTTAATATTCATCATTTCATTACTTAATTTTGTATTATCCACAAACTGTGTTGTTATTATTTTTAAAGCTTTAATTGGAATGTAGTTCATTTGCTTGATGTTCTGTTGCAACTGGATAGGGTGATTCTATATGACTTTCACTTAATTTGATTCTTTTATGTAATTTACATATAACTATTAGTCTTATTTGATGTCGAGTTAGAATCCATTGAACTTGTTAGTTGTTGTTACAATTTAATAAAAAGTATCTTCAGTGAGTAGCAGCTAAAATGGATACACATAAATTATATAATGAATTTTATTGAAGAATAAGGTGTAATCTTTCCACACACATAGATGCAACCACTATATTGTCTACTTCATGAATATTAATAACTTAAGAATAATTGTATTTAATCTGAGGAGTATAAGATTCATATAAACTTTATTGATTTGCTTAACTTTCTTAGGTTACAGCTATTGTAATAATAACAAATCTTTCATGAAACACTTTATAATTGCTAACATTGTCGACCAAACTTGAGAAGGATTGCTAAATTAATAACGAATGTCGACCGTAGGCTAGTGCAAGTAAAACAACATCTTCAAACTTCAATAAAATGCATAAGAAAATAATTGAACAACCAGCATATCCTATGATAGGAGCATCCTCCAAGGCTGTAGTAGAGGAGCTAAAACAATTGAGGCTAAACATGAAATAGAAATTGAGCATCAGAACTAAAACAGTTGATGCTAAACATGAAATAGAAACTGAGCATCAGAACAGTAGAATGATGTTGAAACATTTAAATCTTATGTGCGTGTGATTCCCTGATACTCGATTGGACAACATGAGTTTCCAGAATGTGCTTATTGAATTATTTGTAGTATTCTAACTCAAGGTTATTACTATGCAACAAAAGATCGTACCATCTTAGTTTGTTTTTTCTTGTATATATATATATATATATATTTCTTTTGCTACATCTTACTATTCCATGGATTTATGTAGGGTCTTATATTAAAATATTGTTACCATGAGTAGTACCGGAAAATCTTGGATGTACAACAGAATGCGTAACGGAATTTTGAATAGGGATTTTGTGGCCGGGGTAAATGATTTTCTCAATTATTTTGTAACCAAGCCCAAGGTATATAAGATTAACAGAAAGATAAAATGTCCATGTAAGTGTTGTGCCAATGCTCCATTTCTTCCGGTGGAGGACGTTAAGCATCACCTATACACTAAGGGTTTCGTAAGATTGTACGAGTGATGGATATGTCATGGTGAAACACATGATGAGAGTGGTACCTCCCAGGCATCGGAGGTCCAACAAATTGAAGCATAAATTGATCATAGAATGGGTTTTTATGCACATATGATGATGGATGTTGTAGGACCAGAGTTTGAGGTTCGTAGGGAAGAGGAGGATCCTAATCCTGAAGATAAGAAACTATACGATCTCTTAAGGACAGCAGATAAGCAATTGTGGAAAGGTTGTACCAAAGCAACTTTACTATCAACAGTGGCTAGAATGGTTACTATTAAGGCGGATTTTAATCTACCTGAGAAATAGTTTGATGTGCAGTGCCAGTTGGTGCATGACATCATGCCAGAGGATAATTGTTTCGTCAAGAACTTTTATGAAACCAAGAAGTTGATTGAGGGTTTGGGTCTTCTAGTAGAAAAGATAGACTGTTGTCAGTTGGGTTGTATGTTGTATTGGAGAGAAGACGCCGAACTAAACAGTTGCAGGTTTTGCAATAAAGCTTGATACAAGGAAAAAAAATGGAAAAAGGGTACTTGTTCGGTATATAATCTACTTTCCGCTCACACCAAGGTTAAAACACTTATATGTTTCCTCTCAGAAAGCTTCATTCCTGTAATGGCATGCGGACCATCGACATACCAATGAGGATGATATATGTCATCCGTGTGACTCAAAGGCGCGGAAACATTTGGATGCAAGATATCCATCATTTGCATCGAAGGCTAGAAATGTGAGATTGGGTCTTTGCACTGATGGATTTCAGCCATTTGGACAATATGGAAAACAATACTCTTGTTGGCCAGTAGTTGTGACACCATACAATCTTCCGTCTAATATGTGTTTAAAGGACGAGTATAAATTTTTATCGCTTGTTGTACAGGGAGGTGCAAATCCAAAACAAAAAATTGATGTATACTTACAGCCTTTGATAGAAGAGTTGAACATGTTGTGGAGCGTTGGGGTTGAAACATTTGATGTTTTCCGTAAGGAGAATTTTATTATGAGAGCAGCCGTATTGTGGACTGTAGGTGATCTCCTCGCTTATTCGATGTTGTCTGGTTGGAGTACATCAGGAAAGACAGCATGCCCAATCTGTCAGAATCAAACTGTGTCTTTTCATCTCCCTAGTGGTTGTAAGCAATCGTGGTTTGATACACATCGTAGATTTCTACCGGCCAGTCATCCATTTCGATCTGACAAGAAGAAATTTAAAGAGGATAATTGATTCACGACCTCCACCGCATATTAAATCTGGGGATGATCAAGTTCGGGAACTCGATCGATATGGCTTTTTAAAAGTAACATAGATGAATGCTGATGAGACTAATAAAAGGCTATGCAAATTATGCGGGTGGCGTAAAAGAAGCATATTCTGGGACTTGCCATATTCGAAAGACTTGTTGATTCGATATAATCTAGATGTTATGCACATTGAGAAGAATGTGTTTGAAAATATATTCAATACTATAATGGATGTGAAGGGTAAAACAAAAGACAATGCTAAAGCACGGGCAGGCATGACAATATTTTGTGATTAAAAAGAGCTTGAATTTGAGGCGGCCCGAAATTGCTATCCTCTCGCGGCAAACACAATAGACAAAGCGGGACAAAAAGAATTCTTATATTGGGTTGAAAAGTTAAAAATGCCTGACGGATATATGTCTAATTTGCGCCGGTGTGTCAATATGACGAAGCACAAGATGTTCGGAATGAAAAGCCACAATTGCCATGTTTTTATGCAACGTCTCATTCCGATTAGGTTTCGTGAGTTGTTGCCAAAGAAGATTTTGGGAGCCATTGACAGAACTGAGCAATTATTTCCTTCGTTTGACGTCCAAAACTATCACGGTGAGTGATATGGAATTAATAGAGAAAGAGATCCCGGTGATTTTATGTAAAGTTGAGACAATATTCATCCCTGCATTCTTTGATAGCATGGAGCATCCCCCCATACACCTACCATACGAAGCAAGAATTTGAGGTCCTGTTCAATTTCGTTGGATGTATCCATTCGAAAGGTATTGATGTTTTTATTTGTTTTAATACCCTAGTATGTACTTGTAAATACTCACCAATGTGTTTGTCACAGATTTTTAAATCGTCTGAAAAAGATGGTAAAAAATAAAGCACATGTCGAGGGATCAATTGTTAATGCATTTCTCGTAAGAGAAGTTGGATTCTTTTGTTCACATTATTTTGAACAACATGTGCACACGCGTACAAGAAATGTGCCGAGACAAGATGTTGGCGGCCCCTATTTGCAACGATGTACAACTATTGCAGCTTTCAATCATTCTGCATGCTTGCAAGGAAAAGGAAAAAAGCAATTTCTTACTCCTGTAGAAAGAAAGTCAATCCATACATACTTCTTGCTCAATTGTCCTGAAGTTGAACCATTTATTTTGTAAGTATATCACTTAAAATCAAATTTGATTTCAATAATATTTTGAATAAGCATCTTAACTATAATATTCTCTATAGGCTATTTGAAGAAACATTAAGGCAGGCAAATCCCTCAATATTTGATGTTGAACTTGCCTCCGAACTTCATGCTAATTTCTCTAGTTGGTTTTCTCAATATGTAAGTAAATCACACTGAATGAATATTTTTTCAACAAGTTAAGTTAACTTCCTACACATTACATGGAATAAAAATTATTTGTAATGTAGGTTTCAAATCACGTCAATATCAATCTAACTTTCAAAGATATTGCACATGGTCCATTAGTGGAGGTAATCACATATTCCATATGTTCCACACAGAAAAGCATGGTTCTACCAAGGAGACGTACAATTGTGGTGTTTGCATAGATGGGGGAGGCTTAGTATATTACGGAAAACTCCAAGAAATTATGGAGGTTGAATTTCCAGCCCTTCTTATCAAAAGGTGTGTGGTCTTCAATTGTGAGTAGTTCAATCTGACGAGGGGCTTGGGCACTAAAAAACATGAGAAATACAATCTAATAGAGGTAAATAAATAAAAAAATCTTCGGAGTTACGAAACTTTTATATTGGGCATGCAAGCATCTCAAGTATCTTATATACCATTCCTAAGTCTCAAAAAAGACAAGGAAGACTGGTTGGTTGTATGTCGAGTCAAGCCTCGTGGTTGGATTGAAGTAAAGAAGAGTGATACATATATTGTGCCCGTACATAAAACATACCAAGATGCAATGGTTGAGTCTTGTGCCATTGAAGGGGTTACCACTGGCAAAAATTTGAATTTTAGTGTCTCTTGAAGGTGTTGGGGGAATACCATTGGAGGATTCAGATCTATCTGACACCGATGAAGAGGTTTATCTCGAAACATCTGACTCTGAGACTAACTACATGGAGGAGACTAGCGATGAAGATGATGTTTCATATGAATAGGTCAATATAGTGTAGATTTTTATAATTTTATTGTATTTAATAAAGTTATAAGTTTTATTATAAGGTATAAATCAATGCATCTTTTGAAATGCATATGTCACGGGATCAATTAGATGAGGAGATTGACCAACAGATATCAGATGTTGTTCGAGTTTATGTTGAGGGGAGACAAGAGAGAGGACGAGGGCAACAAATAGGACATACGGATGAGGTGTACCTGACCAATCATGGAGGTAAGTCGGCAAGAGCTTGTCTTTATCATATTAATATAACATAGAGAATTATCATACTACTTACAATTCGTACATGTGCATCATCTTGTACGAAATCATATGGGTCCATTGTAGCTTCAGGTTAGTATACAAATAATATTTATTTTATATTTGTTTATTTTATAATAATTTGATACCAATTGTAGGATCAACTTCAACGATAGCGCCTATCGCTGATAATAGCATTAAGATCAATGTAGAGCCAAATTGAAGGTATATATGTTAAATCCATATGTTTAAGTGTAAAACATTTAACATTCAATTATTGTAGTGTCTTGTGGCCTCAAGAAGCCTCAAAGGAGTTCCGGGATATCTTTCGTTCATCCATCCATCGTCAAGGCACTTCTTGGATGAAAGTTCCGCCGAACATCAAACAGTGGTATGCAAAGGAAATGAAGGTAAAATATTTGGTTGAATAATAAATATTACATATATATTTAATTTATATTTACTAATTTGTTATATAATGTTGTTGCAGAAGCATGTTACGTGGGACTCCACTAATGAGAAGAAAGCCCTATGTGTGTACAAAAAAAAGGCCCAAAATGCATACAAACAGTGGTTGCATGGCATCCAGCATGGAAAAGACAAAAAGGCCGATGAAGTTCTCGACCCGGAGGCCTTGGCTGAATGGACGAGGGTTTGGAGCTCTAATGATGCCAAAAAGAAATCGGAGATTGCAAAGAAAATTAGGCGGCGGGGTCTTCCAGATGTTACATCTGAGGCTACGCATACATGAGGGTCTCGGTCATTTTATGAGATGTCCAAGAAGATGGTATGTAATTCTATAACATTAAAATAAATATTGATTCATAAACAATCATTTTATATTCTCAATTCTAATGCAGGGATTGAATATGACTGAAACGTATGTTTGGGCCCATACAAAGAAACACAACCGGATTGACTATGTAAATCCAAAAGCATCTAAGATTGTTTTATGTTATCTATAAACTAAATATATCACAATAAAATAAATATAACACATTTTATTTTCAGTTAATGTTTATCACATTAGTTGTTGATAATTCAGGAGGATTTGGATGCCATTGTGGGGGTCCTGACACAGCAAGGCACTACCAGGGTTGATATGGACAGGGTGTTTCTAAAATTTGTTCCACGGAATAAAAAAAATTGGATATTTGGGCTCGGGTCTTTAGCGAGTACAGTACCCGCTAATCGATCGTCTTTCATGAGCGATGCTTATTCTTCGGCCATTGTAGACATTGATCAGCACCTCAAACAAATGGAAACTAAATTCAATGATCGACTTCAGCATATTGATGATTATGTTCACCATGTGGATGATCGGGTGGAGAGTATTGAACAAATCCACCAAACCATCGTCAATCAAAACCTCAGCATTATGGAGGAGCTCCGTAGGTTACGAGCAGACTTCAACCGCCGTGGCCCTAACGGTGATGCAGGTCCTCCTATCACATGATGTATGTATTTGGTATATTGATATTGGTATTTTTCTTTGGTACATATATTAAATACTATTATGATTTGATTCTTGATAGATTGACCGATGATTGCACATATAGCTTATACATTTGAACTTGATTTCTCTTTTAAATTCCATCTTAGGATGTTGTGGCTGCTTGTGAGATTGTCAGCTGTAATGTTGTGGAGGTGCAGTGCCAGGTAAGTAAGGATAACTTAAAGGATTGACTTTACATTTCTTGAATTTGTTCAATCCAACATCCTAGCTTTTTTGCAGGGGTCGGTTCCCTCGATTTTAGTGGACAACACCTCAGGTTACCAGGTGTACTGGTACCTGTATCAGAATCAGATGGCAAATAGGTATATATGTTTTCATTTATTTTATATATATATATATGTGTGTACTAAATTAGAGAAGCATCATACAGCCACATATCAAGATTACTTGAACAAGTTTAGTGTATGCATTTTATCATCCCTTATTAGAAGTAGTGTTATTGATACATTGGATCATGCTGCATATAAAGAAAAATGTAGTAAACCTCGGCTAGATGCATGTATGTTTGATTCTTGATGCGGGTGCTTTTTCTATCACATGATGTATGTATTTTGTATATTGATGCTTATATTTTATTTTGGTACACATATTAATACTATTATAATTATTTTATTGAAACAATCATTGATTACATTGTTTGATTCTTGATGCAGGCGTTATTCTTATAGGTGATAAATGTATTAGGTATATTGATGTTTATATTTTGTTTTGGGAGACATTAAATACTCTTATTGGTTATGGATGCATTAGATATATTGAATTTTATATTTTTTTGGGAGACATTAAATACTTTTATCGGTTATGGATACATTAGGTATATTGATGCTTATATCTTGTTTTGGGAGACATATTAAATACTCTTATCGGTTATGGATGCATTAGGTATATTGATGTTTATATTTTGTTTTAAGAGACATAATAAATACTCTTATCGGTTATAGATGCATTATGTATATTGATGTTTATATTTTGTTTTGGGAGACACATTAAATATTGTTATGTTTCGTTTATTGAAACAATAATTGATTACATTGTTGAATCTTTCTTCTAATGGAACATGATTGTTTATATGATTGTTAATAGTTTAGTTTTTAGAATTAAATTTAATTTGCTTGGAATTGGTTGAAATAGATTAAATATAATTTGTTTGGAATTAGTTTTATTTTATTATATTTTGTTTTAAATTGGTTGATATCGGTTAAATATAATTTGTTTGTAATTGATTGATATTAGTTGAATGTGATTTATTTGGAATAAGTTGAAATTCTTGAATATAATTTGCTTGAAATTGGTTGAAATATATTGATTTATTTTATTTTTTGTTTGGAATATGTTGAAATTGACATGTATTTTGATTGAAATTGGTTTAATTTAATTTTTTAAATTTTGAATTTTTTGAAATAGGTTTAATTTAATATATTTTTGTAATTTATTTGAAATTGGTGACATCGTTTTTAAAATAATCTATTTTAAATAATTAGCTGAAATAGATTAAAAGTAATTTATTTGGAATCAAATTAATTTAATTTATTTTGATTGAAATTATTTTACTGCAATTTGATTGTAATTGGTAGAATGAATTAATGAGGGATGTTGCAAGGGATTTAAAAAGGGAATTGGTGAGAGATTTAACGAGAGAATTGGCTGGGGATTCTAGCAAGGATTTACGGAGGGAATTAGGAAGGGAATTGGCTAGGGATTTATTGAAGAAATTATCAAGGAAATTAGTGAGGGATTTAGCAAGGGAATTAACAAGGAAATTAGTGAATGATTTAACGAGGGAATTAGTGAGGGAATTAGCAAGGAAATTAGTGAATGATTTAACGAGGGAATTAGAAAGGGAATTAGTGAAGGATTTTAGTGAGGAAATTAGCAAAGAATTTAATCCTCTACAACCTTAGAAAAATTTCTCACTAAAATATCTCGCTCTTATTTTGCGATGGATAGAAAAACATCGCAAAGTGTTGCAACAATAGGATTTGCAAAGGCTTGTTTTGCCTTAAAAATTCCTTCACAGCCCACCTTTGCCCCCACCTCTGTCCGCTACCGAATGTATGCACAAAACACACAATTGTCATCGTTAATTCAATACTAAAATTACCTTTTAATAAGATTGTTAGTCCGTGGCGTAGGATGAGATTGATCTAAAAACATCAATATGTTAAGGTACATAATTACCTCTTGCAACTTTAAGAATATACTGTTCAAATTCTGGAAGAAATTATTGAACTAAATAAAAATCATATGAAGCAATATGATAAAAATATTGTAAAACTATCAATAAAAAAAATAATATCCTCTTCGTCTCAATACAATAGTCTTGTTTACTATTATTATCCGTCCCAAAATAATAGTCTCATTTCCATAAATACTCATATCACCATAAATTATCCTTACTTTTTCATTATTATTACACAAATGTCACTACTTTTTACACTAATCCACTCACAAGAGCAAAAAAGTCTTTTTACTCGTACTTTTAACCAAATATCAATATAATATAAATATTCCTTAAATCTCGTATCCAACCCAAATAAAACCATAGTTTTGGGATGGATGGAGTGATATACATATAAACATAAAGTGACCTAACTAGAGTTTAATTTTTGTTGTGATGCCACTTTCTCTCTCCACATAATAATAATAATAATAATAATAATAATAATAATAGTAGTAGTAGTAGTAGAAGGTAAGTATATAATAAATGGTAAGTGAGTAGGCTAAATCCCATTCTTTTTTTTCTGTTACTTCAATCTTCACTGCAAATCTTCGATGCCATCGCCATCCCAGCAAACACCTTCGTAGGAAGCTGACCATACAGTTCCTTTGAGCAAGGAGGAGGTCGAAGAAGATATTATTCTGATGACCGGAGGGAGACTTTCGCAGCGTCCCAAGAAGAGGCCAAAGCATCTTAAAAAAGATATGGAGGTACTACCTTATTTTATTCTAATTGTTGTCACTGATTTCATTCATTTATATTATTTCATTGCAGATTTTGTTTCCGGGAGGATTCTTTGCAACCATTTGAAAGGTCATTAAACACAAAAGCCTCTCGTTTCTTCATTGCAGATTTCATTCATTTGTATTATTTTCATTGCATATTCTAATGTGTTTTGATTTTATCATTTGTAGTAGGGTCATTGTCATATTTCTCTCTGTGTTCTTTTTTTTTTCCAGGGTCATTGTCATATTTCTCTCTGTGTTCTTTTTTTTTTTTTTCCCAATCTCGACTTTTTCATGAAAATTATTTTTCATTCTTTATTGTTTGTGTTAGTATATTTTTATATATTTTCTTTTGGGGCCCACATATGTATGTCTATATATATACACTCTTTTTTAGGTTAAAATACAATTTCTATTTTCCGCAAATATTCAAACATGGTATCAGAACATCTTTTTCTTCTAGGATAGACATACTCTACTAATCCTCATTGCTTTCGCTGCCAACGCCGGCGCGTGGCAGCCGCATGCGCCTCCGATGCAGATTGACGTTGTATCCCTCCGGCGACCTCCACCTTCCCGCCGCGTCCGGCGGTTTCCGGCCGCCGTCTCCTGCTTCGATCCCCGATATCCTAGTATAGTTGGCTTTGCCATCTGACTTGAATTTATTTTGCAACTGTTACGGGGTTGGCTTGCCCAGTCTGATTATCTGCCCGATTCTTTTGCATGCGCTATACTATTCTTGATTTTCTCGCTTCATAGTATGGCTCTTAATATGGATCGTGTAGACGCTTTAGGGATTACTGTTATTCTTTCTGGTAATAATTATGATTTGTGGGCTGAATCCATGAAGAGTTTCTTTATTGGTAAAAGATTATGGCATTATGTTAATGGCGACTTTTGTACACCGCTTGCTCATGTTGTCACTTCTACGGCGCCCCTCAACAATAAGGATCCCATGGACTATCATAATGCCTTGGATGAGTGGGATAGTAAGAACCACATTATTCTTATTTGGATTCGGAATACCTCTTTCAAGTCCATTCAGATTCAACTTCGCCGCATGGTCATTGCCAAGAAAGCTTGGGATTATTTGCAGCATCGATATTAGGCTACTGTAGGCATGTATTATTGTCAACTTATAGGGTCATTGAATGCACTGACACATGACTCGCGCCAAGATATGAATGAGTTCCTCTCTACTATACAGTCTATATGGGATCTCATTGATGAGGCCGACATACAGATTGAGCACTTTCGGTTGATTCAGCTCTTGATGAAGCTTGGTCCAGAATATGAGTCTGTGCGTGCTTCCTTGCTTCATCGTAATCCCTTGCCTTCCTTAGAGACATCGATGAAGGAGATTCTTTTTTAGGACACCCGCCTCAAGATGCTCAAGGCTCCTACTCTTGATTCGGCCTTGGCAATTCCCTCTTCTACTCCTCATCGCAGAGATAATTGTAAGGATGCCCGACAACCGCAGTCTGATAAATGTCATAGTTGCCCGGATGCTGATCATCTTTATATCTATTGCCCTAAGGTTGAGTGTCACTACTGTCATCAGAAAGGCCACATCCGTCTGTATTGTCCCAAGAATCCCAAGGCTAGTCAGTCCTCTTCCGGCTCTTCCTCTGCCATTGTTGTTGCCACTAGCGTATCACAGTCACCTCAACTGTCTCCCACTCTTGAGGACCTACGTCACATGCTCACTCAGGTTTTATCAGTTCATCCTTCATTGGCCTCGACATCAAGTAACAACACATGGTATATTGATTCTGCCTGTTGTAACCACATGACACCTAACTCTTGCCTTTTACATTCCTCCCAACTCGTTACCTCATCCCCTCCTATACTTACCGCTGATAATACCTCCATGCGCATCACCCATATATCGCCCCCCACCTCGATGATGTTTATGTCATTCCCAATTAAGCCCTAAACCTTGCGTCTTTCGGTCAGTTGGTTGAGCAAGATTTCACTGTAATTTTTTCTTCTTCTGGTGTGCAGGTTCAGGACACACAGACGGGTCAGATACTTGGGACGGGTCGCAAGATAGGCCGCCTATTTGAGCTTGACCACCTTTGCCCTCGCCAAACACCATCTCTCTCCGTTGCAGTCTCTACTTCCTATCATATTACTGACACCTCAGACTTGGTCATGCCTCCCTATCTAAACTTAAGTCTCTTACAAATACAAGTGTTTTAGGCACAATTCGTTTTGAGTCTTTTGATTTCTTGCGTTATAAACTTGGAAAACAACCAGCTTTACCTTTTTTGAATAACTTGTCTATTGCTGATAAACCTTTTTCGTTAGTTCATTTTGACATTTGGGGGCCTTCTCCTATTGCTACTCTTACTCGGTTACATTACTTTGTGTTTTTTATTGATGATCACTCTCGCTTTACATGGATTTACTTTATGCGTAAGCGGTATAAACTTGCTTTCATTTACTCTGCATTCGCTAAAATGGTGCAAATCCTATTCAGACTCTTCGCATTGACAATGCCCTCGAATATAATGATTTTGTCTTTCTTAGTTTTTTGTCCACCCAAGGTACTATTGTCCAGCGTTCTTGTCCCTACACATCTCAACAAAATGGTTGGGCAGAGCATAAACATCGTCATATTTTAGACATAGTTCGAGCCATGCTGTTATCTGCCAGTTGTCCAGATCGGTTATGGGGCGAGGCTGCTCTTACTGTTGTTTATAATATTAACCGCTTACCCTCCCTCCTCTATCCTTCAGGATACCACACCTTTTGAGAGGCTCTTCCGTCAGGTACCTGATTACTCTCATCTTCATCCTTTTGGTTGTATCAGCTTTGTTCATTTTCCTCCTCATGAGCATAACAAATTAGAACCACGCACCCGTATGTTATATTTTCTTGGGTATGGGATAGAACATAAAGGTTATCGATGTTGGGATCCTGTCTCAAATCATCTACGTATCTCTCGGGATGTTATATTTTGGGAGCATAAGTTCTTTTCCTCTGAGTCTAAATTTTCCATTCCTTTTGAGTCAGAGTCCCCGTTCTTTGTTATGGATTCCTCTCATCCTCTTACATGTCCCGAACTCCCGTCAGTTCCTATTCTAAATTCCTCTCATTCTCCTGCAGGTCCCGAACCGCCGTATGTTCTTGCTGGTCTGTCTAATGTTGATGCTTCCCCACCAACTGACCCACCTGCGCCTCCTAAGCCTGTGCCCGACCCTTCGGAAATTTCAGTTCCTACCGTCACTGATCGGCGACCCACCCGTGTAAGTCGTCCTCCCTCTCATCTACTTGATTATTATTGTTTTTCTATCATTTTATCTCACCATGAACCCAGGACCTTTCGTGAGGTGAACTGTGATGCTTTGTGGCGCGATGCTGTATCTGAGGAATTGCAGGCTCTTGAGAAGACTGGCACGTGGGATATCGTCGATCTCCCTCTTGGCAAGAAACCTATTAGTTGCAAGTGGGTATACAAAATCAAAGCTCACTCCGATGGTTCTGTTGAGCGCTAAAAGGCTCGCCTTGTAGCCAGAGGTATTTTGCAAGAGTATGATATTGATTATGAGGAGAAATTTGCTCCAGTTACTCGTTTGACATCTGTTTGTTGTCTCTTTGTTGTTGCCGCTATTCGACGTTGGCAATTATTACAGTTGGATGTGAAGAATGTGTTTCTTCATGGAGATTTTTCTGAGGAAGTCTACATATACCCTCAACCTGGCTCAGATTTTTCAGGGAAGGTATGTCAGTTATGCCATGCCCTTTATGGACTGAAGTAGGCGCCCTGAGCTTGGTTCGCCAAGTTTAGTGTTTTGCTCCTTCAGTATGGCTTTTCTGCATCTCCCTATGACTCTACTCTCTTTCTTCGTCGTTCTCTTGCCGAGATCATCATTCTCTTGTTGTATGTTGATGACGTGGTTATTACCGGCGATGATACTTCTGGTATATCCGATCTACAAACCTACCTTCATCGACACTTTGACATGAAGAGTCTTGGTCAACTCCGCTATTTTCTCGGAATTGAGATTTCTGACGCTCCAGATGGCATATATCTATCTCAGGCAAAATATGCAAATGATCTCATATCTCGTTCAGGTCTGACTGATAGCCAGATTGCATCCACACCTCTCGAGGGCAACTTCCGACTTGCTCTTTTCGATAGCACTCCACTAGAGGATCCCTCCCGCTATCGGCAGTTAGTGGGATCTCTGATATACTTGACAGTCACTCGCCTTTACATAGCTCATGTGGTTCATGTTGTTGCACAGTTCATGACTAATCCCCGGCCAGTTCACTATGTTGTTGTGTTGCACGTCTTTCGTTATGTCAACGGAACACTCCTACACGGTCTTTATTTTTCTACTGACTATCCATTGGTTCTTGCAGGTTTCTCTAATACTGATTGGCCAGGTGATTCGACTGATCGTCGCTCTATCACAGGTTATTGTGTTATTCTTGGGAGTTCCCTTGTTTCTTGGCGCAACAAGAGACAAACTCTCATTTCTTGCTCTAGTGCAGAGTCTGAGTATCGTGCTCTTGCGGATTCGACTCCAGAGCTCCTTTGGCTTCATCGGCTTCTTTATGATCTCAGGGTTCCTTATCCTTTTTCCACTTCCTTCCATTGTGACAGCACGAGCGCAATTTAGATCTCCTATAATGATGTCTTCCACGAGTGCACCAAGTATATTGAGATTGATTGTCACTTTGTTCGTCCGCATGTTCATGCAGGCACTGTTCATCTATCTTCTGTCTCTTCCGATGATCAGACTGCGGATATCTTCACCAAGTCTCTCTTCCCAGGCCGGTTCTCCACATTGTTGAGCAAACTCAAGTTAGTTTCTATTTTACCACCTTGAGTTTGAGGGGGGTGTTAGCATATTTTTATATATTGTCTTTTGGGGCCCATATATATATGTCTATATATATGCACTGTCTTTTTAGGTTAAAATACAATTTCTATTTTTCGCAAATATTCAAACAGTTTGTATTAATTACTTATACAATGTGATGACTTTCGATGAAGATCAAGCCAAAGCGTGGATATGGATAATAACGTAAAGGACCAAAAAAATGTTCCTTTTAAGATTCAGAGACCATCCTGTTTGCACGAGCTCAATTCGGCGCTCTTCCCGCCAATGATGGCACTGTGATCGGGATTCCATGTTCGTACTTTGCTTGGTCTTCTTGTTCCCGAGTTGGTTTGTTTCATGTCGAGGCCTTGAGACTGGTGCTTTCTTTGTTTGTCGATTCCCCTTCTTTGTGCACTCCAGATGCTCGAAAAAATGACTCTTCCAAGTCATGTGCTTATTTTGACACTTCTGAGCGTTTCAGATCAGTTGCAATGGTGAACTGATATCCTAGGTGAAGTTCTTGGCTGCTGAAACATTGGACCTTACGTCGGAGTATCAATTTGCTCTTCTTGGAAAATTTCACAGAGGTATGCATCGTGGAAAGAGCTTCTTTTGTGGTTTGATAATCTTGAACTTGTTGGACAAATTCTTAATCCGTAGATTGAATTAGAAAGATATTCTCATCCACCTCTCTAACAAAGAAGACTATTCTAGATTGAGATCGAGAGGGGTATGGTTTTTCCAAGGCTTCCCGATGTGTGTGGTCAAATGGTCTCCGGGGTTTAAGCTGAATGAAGAATCCCTTATTGATCCAGTTTGGATTCAACTCCCCGCATTACCGGTACATCTCTTTCATAAGAAAGCCATAACATTGATTGTCTCTGTTATTTTTTCCTCTTTGAGGCTGGATATGACACTGCATCTTGTTCTAGAATCTCCTATGTGAGAATTTGTGTTGAGATCGATGTAGCCAAGCCAATTACTAATATCATTAAAATTGAGGTTGAAGATTTAGGGGAGGAAGTCTTGTTTAAACAAGATTTGGTGTTTGAAAAGTATCCCAAAGTTCTGCTCTAAATGCCTCAACAGTGCCACAGTGTTGTGGAATGTCGAGCTAATGTTCATAAAGTGAATCCGGCTTGTGCATCTTCAGCCTGTTTGGAACAACCTTCTGCTCTGGATACTGGTAAGCCTGATGTTCAAGCTTCCAATTCTACTCCTATCGCGGAGAATAGGGATAAATGGCCTTTCAAACAACATGGTGAACCGAGGCAGGGGGAAGGCCTTGTGGACCTATGTAATTTCCTAAATGAAAAGCAGAATGCTCAGAGGGCAGTCACTCAAAACGACACAGGCAAAGAAATTGCTCTAGAAGCTGATGATCTGAGAAATGTATTGATTGGGAAAAAGCAATCTAATCAATCTGCTGTTCCAAGAAGCTTCCCATCTTTTACAAATTCTCAGCCACTTCCCCAAGTTCAATTGCGTCAGCAAAAGCATCCTATCTTCTCTGATTTGCAGAGGAGACTTTAGATTTTTCTGAACTGGAATAATCTTTAGATTCGGAGATTTCCCCATTGATCCTAATAGCTTGCCTTCTCCGACTTCTACTAAGATATCTGCCCCGCATTTGCCTCCTTATATGTTGTCTATGCCTTTGTCGTCGAACTTGGAGGGCTTTATAGCCTTCAACAAGCTGCAGGAGATACTCTAAAGCAAAGTCCAATTTGAGTGATTATTTTATTTTATTATAGATAATGGTAGATTATGGATAAAATTAAATACCAAAATTATCTAAATTAGATTAGGTAGTAGTATAAACAAAGACAACCAGACACAAAAATTTTAATCTTATTTATTTTCCCTTTTTTTTCTTCCAATTTCATTTATTTCTGTTTTTTTTTTTTTTTTTTTTGAAAAATAGCAAAATTCGCCCTTTGATTTTTCGAATTTACTGAAAAGCTCTTGTGGTCCAAAAATTTAATAAAACCTACTCGTGATTTCTAAAATGTTGTACATTGGCCCCTTTATTCTAAATTGCACTAACAGTGTTAAACTTTTACATATACTAACTATTATGTTTTTATCTAAATTAGATTTCTTCTTTTTACTTTATCGTACTTTCTCTCTCCTTCCTCATCTCTTTCACCGACACCATCGCCTTCCATATTCTCTTCTTCCGCCAACCCACACCACCCACTAGCGTCGTCTTTCTCTTCATCCACGACCGTCTAGCCACTCCAACTGTGTGCCCAGACGCTGCCAACGCTGACCGCCATTGCACCATGGCGATTCCAGCAGCCACAGTCACCTCCTTCTTCAGCCTTCTCACCATTCATCAACAACCACTGCTGGTTATCACCATTCCATAGTCTTCATCCCTTCTACTCTCTTCTTCTTCCCTACCTATTTTTCTTCTCTATTCCCCTCCCTTCAGCATCCTTTTCTTCATTTTCTATAAAAAAAACCTAAATTTCAAATTTATTTTCTTCCCCTTTATCGGGTTTGCCAGCCGCCGCTGTGACGCCACACCCACTCCGGTTCTCTTACATCACCGTTCTTGCCATACTTTCCATATCTCTATTATTTTATTTTGCTTGTTGAAATCTCGGTTCGGGTATATCCTAGTCTAGATGAATTTCTATTTTTTTTAAAAAAAACAAAATTAGTTGTATTTTAGTTGATTTTTGTTGTTCTTGGCTAAATTTTTCATGGTTGATACATATGATCGGAGTCCAGTTGTGGTGTTTTGTAGATTACTTATATCCATCTAATTCTTCTTCTTCTTACCCCCGAAAAAGAAATATTTTTCCAAAAATCGGTGGAGTGACGGTCTGGGAGGGCAGGAGTGATGGTCGGAGCCGACTAGGCCTGGGCGTGCACGGGCGACCTGGTGGCGCTCAGACTTGGGCAAGTTTGGATGGGCGCAGGTGCTGGAGGGAAAAGGCTTAAAACGGCAGCTAGAATTACGGAGGAGCGACACTGCCGTCGAATTGCGTCGATTTGGACTGAAGAAAGGAGATAGGTAACTGATGTTGCGGGGCGGTCGTCTGCTGCAGGCGGCAGCGGAGGAGCGGTGCGTTGCGGCATCAGGCGAACTAAAGCAACACCGGCCTAGTGAGGTTGCGGCATCAGGCGAACTAAAGCAACACCGGCCTAGTGAGGTGAGCAGGGCGTTGTTCCATCGAAAAAGGGAATCTGAAAATTATATTTCTTTTAATTATTATTACTTACTTAGGGTTTTTTTTTTTTTCTAAATATAGGTAATATGGCTTCAGAAGGGCAATTTTGTAATTTTACGTAACAATATATCAATTTCTACATAAAAATCGCAGTCGAAGCACGTGGGATACAATTCTGTTAAGTTGTAACGAAAATTTATTATTTTGCAACATTTTTAAAACCACAAGTAAATTTTATGGAATTTTCAGTGCACGGGAGTTTTTAGTAAATTCGAAAAATCACAAAGGAGTTTTTCGCTATTTTCTTTTTTTTTTTTTCTTTATTTTCTTCTTCCTCGGCCTTTTACTTTCCTGTTTAGCTTGCATTTATTATTTTTCTATCTTTTAATTTTTTCTTACTTCCAATTAATTTTTTTTCAAACACGGTTTCTGATTTTTTTTTTGGAAGGAGCGAGAGAACCCACCCGAATTGTGATATGTCCTCGAAAAATAGTTTGAGCTGACAACAATATGATAATTGTTTTTTAAGTAAAACATTTTCATGTAGGCATATATATATGCACAATGATACAAAGAATATACATATAACAATCCATATATATGTATATATGTAAATTGTAATAACTAAATATGCATGTGTCCAAATATAACACATGCAAAAATATTACACACTAAAAGAAACAACTATAATCGAAATATAGAAACGACAATTTTTTTTAATCTTTAGCGATTAGGATAAACATTTTAAGAAAAATATGAAATATTCTTTTCCTGTTGTTCTTACTTTTCTTATTTAAAACAAATATTTGTGTTGATAATGAGCACAGTGCTGAAAGTTGGTGTTTTTTTTATTATTTAGATATTTACGGAGTTCTTATCATTAATTAAAAGGGTTATTAAAATATTAATTTTTGTTAATTTTTTAATATTTGGGAGAGAAAATGATAACTGACAAACACAAAACATTTTGCAGTGAATAACATGGAAATCAATATTGAAAATTAAAGTGATAATACAATGATAACAATGCAAACGATAAGCCAATAAACATTGGTAATGTTCAACAGAAAATAAAATTCATTCATCTTAAGTTTCCATCTTGAAAAGTGCGAAGAGAGTGGATCTGAGCTCACAACGAAAAATATCTCAAGGATAATGTGCACGCTAAAATTGGTGTTTTGTACGTGACAATCACCTAATAATCACACAAAAACCATATAAAATAAAAACAGCCAGAACAAACGATTTGTTCAGCCAGTTCGGTCCAACATTTTAACGTATCGAACAATTTTTTATCAAAGACTTAAGAGGGCTGCCTTTAGTATTTCAATGGAGTGGATGATAAGACATGTTGATTGAATTGGGCACAGACAGGCACAGGCGCAATCACAAGCTCGAAATTCCGATGGGGCTTATTGTTGGAAGTTACCGGGAATTTAACTCTAAGCCCAAGATCTACCGTGTTGTAATAATTGAGATAAGAATAAAGCAAATTAGATCTAATCTTATTCCTCAGCATAGTCGGATTCAGATCTGCAAATAATTGAGGGTTTTGTGTTCTTCAAGCCTATGGCGCAACCCCTCCTGAGAAAACCGCTAGGGTTTCTGCCGTTACTCCCACGATGAGATATGGAACGTAATGGTTGTTGCGTCTAGACCTGGATCACAATCCTATTTATATCCCTTATTATTAATTGGTCTCATCACCCAATTAATAAGTTACCGAATTTATGTACATTTGAGGCCCGCATTTACTAAACACATTTAAGCCCAATAAATGAACTGATAGCCCAAATAGTTACATTTAACCCACAATTGGATTTTTAATCCAACATTCTACTCACGGTCATGGTCCAGAGAGAAGCAGTGCATTACTCAGTCGAGTTCTAACCTCCGGAGGGCCTCAAATCAGAAATTGCATTGCAGCTGTGGCTGTGAACATTAATATGAATGTGATGGAACCTGTGGAGGGGGAAATGCATATTTATCGATAATAGATAAATATAAAATAATCTAGACATAAATATGAGTTTAATAACTAATATAAGCGACAAAAGTATTGTTTATACATAAAATAAAAAACTATGATAATTGTTTTAAAGAGTAGAATATTTCATGTTGATAATTGCACAACGAAACGAAAATAATGAACTTATCAGATAAAAACAAAGCAAATATCCGTGTAATAACTAAATCTTCATATATTCAAATATCTTATGTGCATAAGTATTACACAATGAAATAAATATAATCAAAATATATACACAGACATGTTTTAAACTTTAGCAATTTAGGTAA